TTTTTTTAATTAATGAATGTAAAATATATAAATGCTATCTTGCATCACTTACAGTGATACCAACTAAAAGAAATTTAATCGATCCATGCGATATAATTCTAAATGATAAAATATTTAGATATCAATAATTTTCATTTATATATATAAATTCAATTTTATTAATTATTATTTAATTATGCGAATAAAAATAAATAAATAATCATTTCTTATTTTTTCTTGCTTAACTTTTGTTTAATCAAATAAGATTTCTAAAATAAAAATAGAAAAATTTTGAAAAATAAAAATTATATAAATTTAATTGAGAATCACTGATAGTGTAGTTAGTTAAACGAATTGCCGTAGGATGTCACTAGCGATACGTTCGTCATTTTGTCTGATCCACGTGGTCTGCACATGACGTTTGATTTCATAAAAAAAAAGCAAAAATAAAAATTGAAGGAATGGAAGTAGCGAAGAGCTGACCTGAAGAGCTATGGGTAGGGGATGTACGGTGGCATGAACGTCATTTAACAGATAATCGATGCGTTATATTGTCCAATATGAAAAGTTTCATGTGTGTGCAACTAGTAAGAACAACAGTGGGAAAAGGAGGGAAAAAAAGTTCCGAGGAAACGAGCAATGCCATCAGACGATACCGCGCGCTCATAATGATACCGATGGTAATAGCAAAACATGCGAAGCAATTTACTGTTTTATTATTTTAATCATATTTTAAATAAATAATAGAAAAATAAAAATTTCGAATTAAATAAAGAATATAAATAAAACTTTTTCGAATATAATACTAATTAATGTATAAAAAAATAATTTGACTTTTATTATAATAATTTCATTAAGAAAAATAACTTCTGAAGAGAAGAAAAGTACACTTTCTTAGAAACAATTTATAGATTTCTAGAAGTAACTAGTTATACTATAGTAGTAACAGCAACAGCAGCCAACGACTCAATCTCGATTCGACGGTGTACATCCGCCGCGGCGGCCTACTTGGAATACGACTCGCTCGCGAAGGTTCTCCTTCCAACAGGGTCGACCAGTCCCGGAGCTCT